CCTGCAACAAGAAGAAGAAAAAGAAGAAGAAGAAGAAGAAGATGGGCGGAAGAGGAGGAGGAGGAGAGAAGAGGAAGGAGAAGAAGATGAGGGGGAGGCGGAGGAGGAGAGAAGAAGAAGACGACGAAGAAGAAGAAGATGACGAGCGGAGCAGTTTTTTTTTTCTTTTCTTACCTGTCATTTATCTCGCGACCTATCGCTGACGAATGAAACAAAAAAAAAGAACAAAAAAAAGATAGTCGGAAGACGAGGAGGAGGAGAGAAGAAGAAGAAGAAGAAGAAGAAGAAGAAGAAGAAGAAGAAGATGAGAGGGGGACGAGCGACGACCAACTCCACGACGCTGCCGACAGGCGACGGGCGACTCCACGACGACGGGCGACGGGCGACTCCACGACGACGGGCGAGCGCAGCTCCCAGGCGATGGCGACAACGGGCAGTGCGGGGAACGAGGGCGAGTCGAGGACGAACGCAGGAGGCTGGAGGGAGGCCTCGTTTCGACAGCCAATGCAGGCCGCCCAAGCCAGTCGTTGTTCAAACGGGGCCTGGGTTTTCCCTCCAAAAAACAAATGGCCCTCTGCCCGTCGATTATGGATGATCGACGGCCGGAGGGCCGTCACAAATTCAAAAAAAAAAACAGGCCTCACGGGCCCGACGCGCCGTTTTCTGGGCGTGGTCGGACCCGGTAGGCCCTGGGGAGACATAATCTGGCCGATTCGGGGTCGGAAACCCCCCGCTAGCAAGGTGTGCTGGGGGGGGCCGGCCCCCAACCGGGCCGCCCGCCCGGCCAGGCCGCCCGGGACCTCCCCCGGGCAGGCGCTGGTCGGCCGGGCGGCCCGGATCCGTACACAGATTTATTCTTAATTCATACTCTCTTCAATTGGTGATAAGTTATAGTCAGACCATCCAATCTTATGGAACATGCCCAACTCTCTTTCAGAAACCAATAAAACAGAGAAACCCAAATGAAAACAAGGCAACCAAGTCATCCAATCTTATGGAAGAATGCTTGGCCCCTGAAAAGTCAAACACAAATAGCCTTTGTAATCAAAGCAACCAGACCACGCAATCTTATGGGACCTTGTCTGGTCCTCCAGGCATTCAAAAATAAAACATAGCACTGGGCCCTCCACTCTTATGGAGACTCTCCCAGCCTTTGGTTGAACCAGTCAAACTCAGGCAATACAACCTTCCTCCCACCTTTCCCCCCAGACGCAAACCCTTTTCACAACCTGCTTTCAGTCAAACAACAAAATTGAAACTGAGCTTGCACAAACATTCCTTTACTCAAGTCTGGATTGTGTCCTGAAAGTCAAACACAAAGTCAAAATAGGTGGGCAGACTCCCCACAGAGTCTTGTTGCGGTTCTACGGGTTGCAATCCCGCCTGCCGCCTTCCTCTCTGAACAAGACTAAACTCATAATAACAAGGGCAGAAGGAGGGGTTTTCAGACTCTAGAGATACAAGAGAGGGACGGACTCAACTCCCAGGAGAGGGCCTTGATACCTTCATGCGCCTGAGGGCCCCGCAATGATGGCCAAAGTACACAGCAGCCTGGTCATCTGAAGTCAAATCACTGGCCGTTGACTTCCTGGTGATCTCTCAATTCGCAACAAAGTACCTCCTATAACAATATCTGTCACTCCACAAACTTGCAATCCCAAATGCATTAACTATGGGTGAGCTTGCAACCTCGCGGCTTGTTATTCGGCTAGTTCTATTAGCCGAATGGACTGCTCATCAATCAGCGGATAGGTCTGCAGCCCCACACTCTGTTTCTAATTAACCCGTTCTGCAGTCTGGGCAGCACGCCGGCTAGTAAGCGAGTATAGCTCCGCAGTTCCCTTCCTTCTCTGTGCTCTATCTGAAATGTGTTCGAGACTCAATCAGATCAGCAAGACAGTAGTGCTCAATAGCAAGTCATGACAGAATACCGAGCCTTACAGCAAAGTGTGCGCAGCAGCAAAACGCAAGAACAAGCCCACCCGCAAGACTCAACAGCGCAGCGTGACACACCAGTACCGGGCAACAATATGCAATGGTAACAGCCACCTACAACTGAGCGGAAAATACAGCTCGGCCGAGAGTTCAGATTTGTAGCAGTCTGATACCAACAGCATAAGGTTTGCACCGGCACAACAGTCTTCAAGACGTAAAGGCAACAACAACTCTTCAATAGCCGCATCTAAACCCCCAAATGAGAGATGTCTCGTGAAGAGACGTCTAGATACGGCGGGGTGCTACTCTGTGAAACCCACGAGGCGTACCCATACCGATCCTCTTCTTGATGCGCCTGGCCAATAATGTAATCAGGTTCATATAACTGTACCTGATCTTAGTTACGGCATGACCGCGAAAGTGACCACGACGAGCAACGTGAAGACAGCTCGGCCACAACCACAGGTAAGTTCTTCAATCGTGCAGAGTGAAACAAGATCATGGGAGATAGGTTACCAGCTGGACGTGGCCACTACCACCAGCACGCCATGGTCGGGATAGTCATGACCACATGCAAATTAACAGCCACGAGGACGAGCCATATTGACCGCTAAGGTGATATCCCATTCGCGCGTCGAGCAGCGCCTGGTCCACCCGCAATGGAAATGCGATCACGTACACAACGACGAGTTGGCGCTTCCTATTCCACCGTCCTCTTTTTAGGCAGAATGGGAACGAATCTTTTGTTGTAAAACGGGCAGTTACATCAACTCCCGTTTGTACTTCTTCGATTGGTCTGCTCGGCACCGAGCAGACTCTCTACTCCTGCACCGCTGAACTCATTCACGATTCTCAAAATCTGATCTCGTGACCAGTCTCACCCGTTCCTAAAACCTCCGCTTAGCGTTTTCCCTCACCAGTTTTCATCACGGGACGACTGAGTTTCACGACGTTTTTACTCCCTCTTCGTCATCCTCCTCATCACCTCGGCGCAGCCTCACTCTTTACGAACTTCTTATTTACTAACTCTGTAGCCGAACTAACCACAAAATCGGGATCGCCATCCCCGAAAATCCCCGATTTGACTCTTCACTCGCTCGTTTTCGTTGAGAAGCGAGTGAGCTATGAGACTTCCACGCCCGTCTTCCCTTCCTCCTCCTAGACTCCTCCGGCGCAGCACTATTCTCTAATAACTCTCATCTTGCTAATCTAACATTAAAACTAACATCGCTGTTATACTTGCCCTCCCTCAGAACCCCGGATTCGATCTAGATCGGGCGAGCTCTGATTTCTCTCCCCCATCATACTCGTCTCCTCCCTTACCGCCTTCAACCTTCGTTTTCGAATGCCCCTAGCGCATGTCCGCGTCTAGGCTCATTTGAATTCCCGCCCCCTCCTATTGGTGTCATGCTCTGCCTCATAGCGCAGCGCTCACCTGCTCCTACTATCCTAAGGAGAGCTTCAAAGGAAGTCAGTTATCGGGCGGATCGATTGGTTTTTTCGCCCCGATACCCAGGTCTTCGTCTGGTAGTGTTGCTGCAACGTCCTCCACCGTGCCCCCGATTCAGCTTCGTTTCCGCTGACAATGCAAATTGTTGCATGCGATCCCACAGCTGCTTTGTGACAGCGTTTGGCATCCCGGGTTATTCCTGCAGGAAACTCCAAAGGGGACCAGCTGCAGATACCCAAGTCCAACGATCGATTTGCACGTCAGTATCGCTGTTCCACCCCCCACTACAAAGTCCCTGGCCCTCGTTGGTGCCAACTGCTAGCCCAGACACCCCAACAGTTGTCGAGCGATACAGGCAGCAAGCATGAGGTCTCGAAAGTCAGATCGGCGAACAGTGCGACTTACGCCCGACAGCTGTGGCGACTCAGACTCCTCGAACAGTGGAAGGGCGTGGGTCTACTGCAACGCCCAAAGCATGGGCTTAGGTGAAAAACGGGCCTGGTGCAGATCTTGGGGTTAGTAGCAAATATTCAAATGAGACCTTTAAAAACAGAAGTGTCGTGGTGCTGCTGCGGTCTCTCAACAACGCCCCAGACTGCTATCGAGTCACTGCGCCTGGGCACGATCCACCATCTTTCGACAGTAGCTGGCAGTGCTTTGTTTTTTGTCGAAGCTGCAGAAGGGCGCGGGCGTGGATATGCCAGGGCTAGACTTACCCTACCTAAAGAGATGACAGCAGCCGCACGATTCAGGACCCAGGTAGGTTGGGAAGAGGTGGCCGCGCCGGTTATGTGACCAAGGCGCGAGAAAAAAAGGAGGGAACTTTTTTTTTTAGCCGCGGGGCTGTCACATGCACGACTAGGGCTTGTGGGCTAGGCCACGAGCCGCTGGGGCAGGACGCCCGCCGGTTCGACGGCGACGAGCCTAGAGGTGAGGCAGGCCGAGCCTGCCTTAGCTATGGCATGTGGGCCTGCAGGGAGGCAGCTCTTCTTATAGAAGAGTTGTGGGTTTAACTCCTGTGATAGGAGCTAGCCAGTAGGTACTGCCAGCTGACTTTCACCTTACAGATTCAGGGATCGAGTCCGACAACATGCAACTGGGCTAGCTCCTTTTGTTAGGAGCGGCCCAGTTTTCTGAAGTGACGCGGTCGATTTCGACCGCGCGATCTCACAGATCATGCGGCCAGAATCGGCCGCACGCAGATTAGCATGGCCCCTTCGCAAGGTTGACACGCATAAATCGAGAAATATTTCGAGTCCCTCGGGACTCGAACTCGGGCCTGTATTCCAGCAATTCACGGGGATCCGTGATGTGACCGTTGGTGAATGCCAACAGGATAAACGGGAAAAAAAAAAAAAAAAAAAAAACAAAACTAAAAACTAACTACAGACGAAAGTGCCACTTGGCTCCCTTAGAAGTGACTGGGGCGTTTTCAAGCCCCAGTGCACTGACAGTGCCCGTGAAAACGGGCGACTGCTTGGCCACAAGGTAAGTGTTTCATTCTTTTTCGTTTCTTCTCTTCTTTCTTTTTGAGATTTTTATTAGCTTTCTTCTTTTAGATTTGTTTTAGATGTTCTTTAGTCATATTTCTTCTTTAGATTCTTTATTTTCTTTAGATTTATTTTATTTTATTTCTTTGTTCATGATTCTACCAGAGCACCCGTTCGATTTCTTCGAACGAGCTGCTACTACCAACTATGGAAGGGCAAAAGGAATCTACTGCTAAAAAGGGGAACTATACACTTGTGTATAAGAGAGAGAGAGAGAGAGAGAGAGAGAGAGAGAGAATTCTGCCCATCTATAGGATGAGCAAAATCGAATGAATCTACTGCTAGAACATGGAATATACACTACCACACTTTTCCCCACCCCGCTCGTTTCACGAAACTGCGCCCGTTCGTTGGAGAAACGGGCAGCAGGCGCAATCTAAGGTAAGTTCTTTGTTTTTTTTGTTGTTAGATTTTCTTTGTTTTTTTATATATTTTTATGATTTTTTTTAGACCCCCNCCCCCCCCCCTTCCTTTTGTTGTATTGCAGTTTGCTGTCCCCGTTCGTTTTATGAAACGGGCTGCAGGCACTCAACGGCATGCCTGAACCTGGCGCAGTTTGTGTCCGGGAATGGGCGCACGGGGCAGGGGGGGGAAAACTCTGTTGAGCTTGACTGTAGTTCGACTTTGTGAAATGAGTGTAGGGAGGGGGAGAGAGCTCGTTCATTTTTGAGCGACGAGCAACCTCTTTTGGAGGGGAAATGAAAGGGGGAAAAAAAGGCAACGACCACGAATGTGGCCGCGGTCAAGCCCCAGATTCAGGCCAGTTGGTCTGAGTATGACCACTTAGGCTAGGCCTGTATCTGAAGGGCCATCTGGAAAGTGGCTGAGTTCAACCACTCCTTCAATGTACGTGCACTGGAGAAAGTGTCGGGTACAGGAGAAAAGAAAAGGGAAGAGAGGAAGGGGAAACAGGAGTTCAACAGGCTCGACTTTTCCTGGCCCTTGATCGAGATCAAGGACGCAGGATGAGTCTGAGTCCTGAAGCAAGCTTCCAAGTTTTGTATAAAGGCAGCCCTTCCCCCAACTGCCTCATTCATTCCAGCAGTTGGAGGAAGTGCTGCTTGGAGAAGCGGTGCTGGGGGGAAGTGTTGCATGGAGGGAAGTGCTGCTGGAGAGGAGAACGGAGGTCTGTAGAAAGACAGAGAGTAAGAGAGGGGCGGCCATAGCCGGAGGTTGGGAGCTCACTGCCCCGCCTCTCCGTTGGTGCCGCGATTGGTAGGCTGCGTCAGGTTTCAGGCTATGCGGCAAACGGCACGCGTTGGGGATATGCTGTCAGATTTACCGCGCAACGTCAATTTTTGTGTGTATGGGGAGATGATGCCCGTCCAACGACGCAGTAATCGTGGCATTCTTTTAGGCGTTATGCTGCCAAAATCTTGACTCGGCGACGGGTTTTTTAGAGGGAAGTGCTGCCATTTTTTTTTTGGTATGGCGGCAACAACGGTGTCAGTGGGGGAAATGTTGTCAGACTGGCAGCGCGACGACATCGAGGTCTCCCTAAGGGGAAGTGCTGCTCGTTCGACGGCATGGCGACGACAATGTATTCAGCGGGACTGTTGTGCTGCCGAAATTACGCCGCAGCCCTTACACTAATTTATGGGAGGAGGTGTTGCTCGACAGCGACAACGTTATTTTTCTTGGGGTTATGCTGTCCGGTTGGCGGCACGTTGGCGGGACTATTGTGAGGGAAAATGTTGTGGATCTTTTGTGTCACAATGGAGGGGGGTTTGTTGTGTGTAATCTGGCCGTGGTGCTGCGGGGCAGCCATGGTACCGGTTTTGACGGCGCGACAAGTAGTGGTCCGCCATTTTTTTTTTTTGGTACGAGGCGGTTATGGTGGATCCCAGTGTGGCCTAGAGGTTGAGCTTGCACTGGTGCACAGTTGGGACCGTGCGGCAGTGGTGTGTGGACCGGCAGCACAACATGGAGTGAGTGCACACGGCGGTAGTTATTGGGGTTCGCAACACATGTGGTTTTGAGCCAGGGCCACCTTTATTTTTTTTGCGGCGCGCGGTGTGAGCGGTTTAGAGTTCTGGACCATCAAGTATTGCGGGCAATGGTATGGGGCGTATTTTGTGATGGGGACCAGCATGTTGGTGTGGCTATTGCGAGCGGACATGGTGATTTAAGGCTGCGTGGACTTGTGGTTCGTTGGGGAAGCATCTTGGTGGGTAAAGCGCAGTTGGTATCACGCTGAGACAATTTGGGACACTAGAACCACGTGAAAACTCGATTATGGGAACACCCTCCTGGAAGGCTACCTCACTTGAGTTCTTTTTGTGGCCCAACCTCTGTTTTTTTGAACAGTTGAAAGAGGACGCGGCCCGTGATTCAGGAGAGAAGCCACAACTTGTGAAGTTGTGAGCCGCATATTTTTCTACAACGATTTTTTATTCTGATTGAAATATTACCCGGCTTTCTTGAGTAAGCCAAACCGAACTTCACTCAAGGTCAATTGATTGACTCAGATTATTTTCACACCTATGTGAACCCACACTTTGCTTGACATTATTGTTTTGAATGTTCGAAAGAAAAGGTAGAGAAAGTTGTGCGCGTCATGCATGTGAAAGGAAAGGTCTGACTCGAGTGTGGGATTGTACTGTTTTCTTTTGAACTTGTCGCTTGGCCTGGTGTGCAGGTAGGTAGAAGGATGCTTGAAAAGGTGCCTATTGGAGAAGGGAAAATGACTATCTTCTTTTTACTTTTTATCTGCCTGCATTTCAAAAGGGATTCGTTGTTTTGAAAAACGTTAATTTTGTGTGCACCTTAAAACAAATTTGATTGAATAACGCAGATAAGGTCAAAAAAAAAAAAAAAAAATTGTCTTTTTTCGAGGATTGACCTTTTCTATCCCGAATG